TGTTCCCCGCCAACGGGTGACGCGGCAAATTTAAATTCAGCCTTCCCGTACCCACGGGTAACACGTACGGCCCCGTTAAAGTTTTTTTCGGGTAAGTTAATATCTCGGGAACCACGGAGTCTAGGAGGCTGAAATTTTAGGACAATGACCCCCTGCCCACGTTCAACCTTGCCCATTCAAATTTAGCGTTCCCGCGCTCTCGGGTACCACCTGCGGGCTAGTGAAAATTTTGGCGGGTAAACTATTCACTCGGGGATAACTAAAAGATATTCATCCTTCAAGGTTTCGAATTCAGCTTTCATGCGCTGGTGCGTGGAATTTTTAACTGTCTTCCAATGTTTGAACTATTTTTGCATAGACAAAAGTACAAAACAGTGAAAATCATTAATAGGCAATCGTTCGATGGGCTGAATTGCACAAACGCATGATCGCACCGGCTAGTCTGGTGCGCGTTGCTATTTATTATCCTTTGCTATTAGGCATGGCACATGACGCTCAAGGAACAAATGGTAAGTAGCGACATTCTCGTGCTGAAAGAAAGTCGAGTGTTCTCATTCGTCTCAATGTTAAAGGCGTGTGCTGAGCCGACAAATCCTTCACCAGCATAATTTTAAGCCACTTTGAAAAAGGAAGGCTTAAACAGCTTTGCCGGCGGGTGTATGCACTACTCAGTGGAGTTACTTTTGCATGTATTCATTTTTGGTTGAAAATTATGGGAAGATCTGATCCCTCACAAGAGATCAGATCCTTGAAATGCTTTTTCCTCCCACTTCATTTTCCCTCATTTCCCCATTCACGAAATATTATGTTGAATGCAAACCTGAAAACGTAATTTTAGTGGATTCCAAGTTTCACCACTAAGATACTCAATCCAGTTCGTTACGGTCTCCGGTGGCTGCGTTTCTTTGATGTGTTTCAGTGCTTCGTCCAGAATCACATCACCGGTTGGCTGTTCGTTTTTAAGTAATACCTAAAATATTAGGAAAAAATCAGCACCAAATCACGAAAAAAAACACACAACTGTTTTTGGGAAAAACAAAAAACAAACGAAACCAGGACTTTAGAAAACATTTGCAAATGCGACGAAATTTTTTGGAGCGGATATAAAAAAATTAGATTTTCGAAGAAAACCACTGAGTCACATACAGTTCAAAAATCAAGGCAGATCTGGCACACTGATTCCTTGGCTGAATCGGCACTACTTGGCTTATATGCTCCCAAGCTAAAATTCTCGGAGAATCAAGCACAATTTCGACTTGGACATATTTTAAAGATTTGCATACAGATACAACGCTTACTTTTGCCATATTTTGCTTTCCAGTTATCTCATACACAATTTTCTTCTACTGCACACTACCTTATAATACTACTCACGCGATGTCGTGATATCCTTTATGAACTTCTACAGTTTACCATGCTGCCCCACAATATCCTAGTAACATCACTAACAAACAGGGGATACCCACAAAAATAGTTCGAGCAGTTTTGGTATGCTTGGAACAACTGATAGTTCATTGTTTTACTGCTTTCAACGACAGTGCATCGCCTGCTTATCAGTCTGATAGCGATCCTGACGTTCGTTTCGTCTCCTAAACGGCTCAGCAGTTTTACCGGCAGAAGTATCAGGTGACCAGTACTGTGGGAGACGATGTGACTGACCCCTGTCCCTTCAGCTGTTATAATGGGCAGGGGAAGCCCCTTGCCGACAAGTGGTGGACGATCCGCACTGAGTGGTGCCCACCGGAAAAGTAAACGATTACGCTTGTGATAAGGATCCTCGAAGAAGATCCCTGTCATGATCAATGCCTTAACTAGTACGTCTTCATTCTAGTTCTGTGTACGCGAGAAGCGTTTTTTGTAGCAATGAATATTAAACGA